AAAACCTCGAACGAAAATAAAATTTACGAAAATTTCCAAACACCCAAATCCAAATTATAGAGAAAGGAAGGAAACATACGAAATAAACGAAACTTACATTTACATAATTTATAGACTCATGTCACAGGCCACATATATTTATTTAGATAACATTGCTAAGTTGTTGATGTTGTCTGCGTTTTTCTTTTTGTTTTTGTCCCCGGTTTTTGTTGATTCTTGAGCTCTAAACGCCACAACGTCTGGCATTCCACAGCGCATTTTGGGGGACACGACGTGGGCGTGGATATCTTGTAGGTGGACTACTAAAGGCCTTGAGCTCCGTCGAGTTGGAAAAATAGCAATGTAGAGTGGAGTGGAATGGGGCTTATGAGTAGACGGGGGCAAGAAGGGAACCTCAATGACCAGCGAATGCTGTCGAAATCAATTTGGCTAATGTTGTCGCCATAGGCTGACGGAAACACATACGACCCCGTTCCGATTTTCACATATTTCTGCGATTTCAAATCGAGAGATTTTCAGAACTTGCAAAAATCAATTGTAAGTCAAAAAATATTGATTAATATTGAATTTTACATTTCTAATCATTTTATTCGTTTCTTGATTTAAAAGAAAGAAACATTTTCAAAGGTTTGCCAATGAAACCTTTACAATACATTCTTTTTTTTATTTGAAAAGGAATTAAAAAATCAAATATTATAAAAGGGTTAGAAACTCCCAAAATTAGTTATAGAAAAGTATACTATTTATAAATGCTATTTTGAGTAAAGATTGTGGGAAGCCATAAACTAGTGATGTAAAAATAAATTTGATTTAAATAATAATGATATTATCAACAAGTTCTTGAGCAAATCTTTTGAAAACAAGAACAGACCTGATAGACCGGAACAGGGTTGCCACCGCCGGCTAAAGTCAAACCATCAAAGAGCTCAAATCGTTGAGCCGGGCACGCAGCAAACGCATTCATTGCAATGCGAAATCAATTACACTAAAACCCGCCACCATGGGTGGGGAATAGGGCTCTGATGGAGGGGCTGTGGAAAGGAAAACCCTCAACCCCCTACCCCCCCTTGCTGTGGAAACACGTCGCGCACGTGCCGAGCGTACCGCCGATAATTTGTAGTAACAAGGCAGACAAAAAGCAACCACCGGGGCAGATCTCACCCCTCAGCCACCGAAAGAATATAAACCCAAACCACATCCCCCATCCACGAGGGGAAGAATTGAAAAATTACTAAACACAAAAGCGCGGAACGTGTTTTCGGAACTGGCCACCCAAAGAAAAGGCACCCACATATGTATGTATGTATGCATGGATATAAAATAAATATAAAAAGTAATAATTTTGACTTTTGAGCAGGAACCGATGGGGCGGGGAAAGCTCCAAGTTTATTGCATTCCACTTACGGAATCCCCAGAGTTTGGGGGCATTTCGTTTTTCGTTTGTTGAGCAAGAGCGATAAGCACTCATTCATTATTCACTCACTCACTCACTCACTCGCATATGAATCACATTCATGGGATGGTTTTAATTGCATTCCGGTTGATAGATGCACTTACCGCAAGTAGAACAATAGAGTTCAACATTACATATTGCATATTTATGTTTGACTCATAACGCAAGCTGGTGATGATTAAGATTTTATGTAAATGCTGAAAAATAAATTGAGTACTTACTAAATGCCAAATGGTGTGCAGGATTAGTGAAATCATTACATTGATATATTTCTGTGAATCACATTTACGCAAAACCAAAGATTGGCCTTTATAAAGTCGGAAAACGCATTGCTCTCTAAACAGGTTTCCCAGACTTCGAAATTCATATTTTTCATGTACAACTGATAAATCAAGTCTCCGAAACTACGTTAAAATATAACGATAATTATAACTTTTAACCCTAATTAGCGTTTCTAGAGTTTATTTATTAGATTAAATAGACTATAATTGAATTTTTGTTTTTTGTTTGTTTTTAGATAAAAAATAATCTTAATTTTTGTAAGTGAGTCTTAGCAAATTGTTGGAAATAGTATTTCTTAGGATTCTATCACATTTGTTGACTAGTTAGGTAGGTATTTATTTTATAATTGAATAGAATGACTAGTGAGGTATTTTTTAATTGGATATACAACTTCAGTTTGAATGCTATTAAATAATCGTTTGTTAAACTTTCGCCCATTTCGGGAAGGTGACTTTATCGGTCCGCCTTTGGCCTTGAAATCGATCACCATTTACTATCCACTATTCACACAATGGCCAAAACGGTGGCTATCCATAAAAAAACAGCAAATCGCAAAAGCAAACACGCGACATTCAAATCGCGTCAAGGTTCGCCTGGCAGCCAGCCCAAATGGATTCAGAATCAGATTCGTATTCGGATTCGAATGTTTCCAAAATGGGTACCGTGCCCTCCTCCTTTTTAGAATGAAAATAAACTGCTCAACTAGTCCAAGTTTGGTTGACAATTTGTTGACAATTGCGTTTCACACTTTGCATAATAATCAGAAATATAAACCGAGACCGAGAAAGACAGACGGGCAGCGAAATAAAGTTTGCATAGTTCATAAAAGCAATGTTTGCAAATGAAGACTCCCGTTCCCACTAAGAATCCGAAACCAATTGAAGGCGAGACAATTTATGGTAATATATTTACAAGAAAATTCTGCCAGCGAAATGAATCAGAATCGCAATCAGAAATGTATGGAATATATCTTTCGCAACCGCACAACCGTTTCAAGTTAAAAGCCGTACACAAACACTCAAATGTAATCGAATAGCTTCGAATATGTCGAACACGGAACGCGATTGTCTCTATTATAGTGTAATTGTTGTCATTGTTGGCTCGTCAAGTGATTCAGGTAATTGCGAAACGCGGCAATGTTTATTTTATATATATCTCTCCCCTGGTTGTTGTCCAATGCATTCTGCATTCGAAATTCAACCAGAGCACGACTGAAATCGGCGAAATCGTGAAAGTTCCAGCAACGAGGAGGGGAAATGCGGAAAACTGATGGGTTGTGGGGGAATTTGGAGAGGTGCAGCCAAGGGAATCGGTGCCAGACAAAAACATCGATGGCAATATTCCGAAGCACTTAACATTCAAACGGCGATGTTTATGAATCGAAATTCGTGGGAAAAGTGGGTGGAAATCAGCAATCAAATATTAATAATTTTCAAAACCAATATGGTTTTTTTTTAATTCCAAACAGTCAGACAATATTGACAAAGATGTTTTCTAAACTTACTAACAAATATAAAAAAGAAAATAACAGTCTGACTGCATATCAATAAAAATCTATGTGAAAAAGCAATCCTTATGTTATTTTAATTTTAAAATAATTTTTATTTGAAATTAGAGTGCAAATACTTAACCAAGTATTTTTTATGAATTTATTCAACACTTATCTATTTTTTCAATTGTTCGAATATACAAACTAAACCAATTTAAACAGAAAACAGGAAGTGACTAAACATTTTTGGAAGAAAAACGAAATATAAAATACAAAGGTATTATATATATGGATACATACTTAAGTAGATTTATATTCTTCATTAATGATTCCTTGAATAATGACGAGTTTTTTAAGATATATTTAGAGACATGCCAAATCTTTTCAAGTGGGTATTTAATAATAACAAACGAAAACTGCGACAAATCTTTAAGAATTGGACAATATTTGGTTAACCATATGACGAAATATACAATTGTACATACTCCATTTGAAGGATGTGGGCCGATGTCGAACAGCAAATAAATAAATTAAGAATTTACTCGACCACAACGAGGAAAAACGAGACCCACTTTGGTTTTTGGTCGCTCTGGATCGCCTCGTTCTCGTTCTCGTATATGTATTTCTGGTGTGTTTTTTATTTGTTTTTTGCTTTGCTTATTAATATTTCTTTTGCTGGGGTTTCTTTCAATTTCTTTTGATGTCAAAACAAAGCCAGCAAATGTTTGTAATTGCTTATCGCCACAAACTGTTTACACAAGCCATCGTTCTAATGGCGACCCATTCCCACATATATGGGCCATTGATTCATCTGCAGCGGTCACCTTTTGAGTTCCATTCTGCGTACTGTTTTTGGTTTTTTTTTTCCCCAGAAGAAAGCCCCACTTATGCGAAGAAATACTTAATAATTTTTTCAACAAAATGAAATGGATACGTGCACACGGAACACAAAGACACAGGGCAAAAAAAAAGCGACAGCGACAAGCACTCAAACACTTGCGTTCTGACAGAGGAATTATTGTTAAAAGTTCATAAAAACCATAAAAGTCTAGATGTCAATCGGTCGAATGGTGAATGCTCTAATGGAGAGGGTGGTTCAACCGAAGATTAAGTATATGTGCTCTCACTTTGCAATAAGCAAGAGTTTTCAAAATAGGATAAGACTCTTTGATTTTCATTGATAACTCCAAGTTCATATATTATATTTATTATTGTTAGATCCTCCCACTAACAACACTTAAAATAATGAACACTATTCATTTTATGGTATCTCTACATACTTTGCTGTTGGAAAACATTTTTAAAGATTTTCATTGATAACTCCAAGTTCATATATTATATTTATTTTTGTTAGATCTTCCCACTTAACTTTAGGGACCGACTTTGTTGGCAAAATCTATCGACTCCTAAGCTGGGCACTCAAAAATTGTTTGGCAGGTGTTGCCCTTTTTTATTTTACTGCAGTTACATAACACCACCGCAATGTGTTTGTCTTGGCATTTTTTTATTAGTAATAACATTTTGAAAGCCACAACGTGGCCGGGTTGTATTAAAATTCATGTTCTGAGTGGTTCATCGGATGTGCAATATGCGATATCCGATATGCCAATGTGGAGGGGTTTCACCTCGGGTATTTAATGTCGGAATCAATAAAAGAGATTGACACATGTGGGGGTGTCTTAATTTATGAGTTGCATGTTGGTAGCATCAATTTTCCATTTTCCCCCCTGTCAGCTCGATGTGCCAGTAACTAAATAAATGGACGCGACTTTGCAGCCCAGGATGTCGCACGAAACAGCAGTTCCGGCAGCAGCAGGCTCGGCAGCGGTGGTGTCCTGTGCGGATAACTCGTCCAAGGTGGAGGTCATCGTGTACACCACCAAGTCGGACAAGACGCTGAAGCAGAATATGAATGCCAAGGATGATACGCTCAGGAAGCGTACATCCCTGATCATTGTGCCGCAGCAGGTGCATGACATCGAAGTGGAGGATGGGGAGAAGGATCCGGGGTCGAAGGCGAAGGAGAATGGGAATCGCAACTCAACGGCCAGCATGGATAGCTGCGTCTCGAACACGACCAGTCAGAGTAACCAGTCGAGTGGTGGCTCCAGTTCCTCGACGAGCAGCGGCAGTAGCAGTGGCTCCGAGGACGCCCATGCCGCCTACCAGGATCTGCAGAACGGCAATGCTGGGCAGGATCTGCACTCACCATCGCCGGTGCCCAGGTGCCACTCGTCCAGCTCATCCACCGGCTCGGAGTCCACCTCGTGCTCCAGCTCGGCGGACTATTCGCTGCGGGAGCAGCTCAAGAACTTTGCCAACAGAACTGCCGAGGAGCAGCTCAGGTCGTCCGCAGCTGGAGTTGGAGTCGCTGGTGATCCAACAACAGTTCGCCTGCTTAAGGGCATGAGTCTGCCGGTGGGCGATCAGCAGTCGGTGGCCCCTGCCATCTGCGATGCCCTACTCAGTCCACAGGAGGTTCCCCTGGGACGACGCTACGCCGAGGTGGCCCAGTTCAAAGGTCACCCCAAGGCAAGGTGAGTCAGCTGATTCGGTTCGAGACCTTCGACTGGTGTTACACACTTGTAAATCTTATAAAACCATAAACCATTTAATTTTGTTACAAAACTTACTTCTCTGTTTACTTCTGTCATGTCTTATTAGCTATTAATTATTAATTTTAAATTTGTGTATAAAAAGTGTGAGTCAAGGCTGTTAATACTTTCAAATTATTTAGTGAATGTCAACATTAAATTTTAAGTTAGTAAATTTTCTTAATTATTAAAATCCAATAAAGATCCTCAAGAGTGATCTAGAAAATTGATAATTTAAATTCAATTCAAATGTAAAATTATGCATTCGATTCTATTTTTATGTTATCTACTGTTTCTTAAAATACTTTTTTGTTTTGTCATGATAAATTTGTATAATGTTCATTATTGCTAGAGGATTTATTAAAAACATAAAAAATTAGAAAACATCCCATTTAGCACTCTTAAATTGAATTACAGTTTAAATTTCAATATATTGATTCCAGGTAAAAATCACAGTAAACCCAAGTCAATGGCTTACTATCTCCTTACTTCCCACTCAAACCCAATCAATATCCCCGGCTTGCAACAAACACTGACCTAGTCTCAACCAAAGCACTCACTTCGATGACATCCTCTCCAGGTTATCTAACCACATACACTTGGCAGCCGGTCCTCCAGAAATCCCCTACTGGATCCATTGTTCGGCGAGTGCTCAACTAAACGATGTCAACTGGCAGCTCGAGTCGAGTGTCCAACCACAGGCATCCCACTGAGCTGAGTGGGAGACCCAATCCCAATCCCAGTCCCAGTTCCTCATCTCTAGATGCACATGCATAATACACAACTTAATTAGTATTACTACTTTATGGCACTCTCGACGACGTTTGCCCCTTTTCCACCAAACTCTCCTCTACACTCGACTCCTTTCTCTGGTTTCCACTTTGATTTTAGACGGGGGAAAAATCTAATAATGGAGCATTCCACACACGCACTGCCATTGCCACATTACCATATCAAAAACTGTTGGGTTGCCGAGCCCGTGGGGCATAGACATGGGGTTAGCTCCTTGCCCCAAACCGACTGCCTTTCGCCTACAACTTCTTTTCCGTTTCTGTTTTGGCCAAATCAGAAATGCAGTTCACCCACACTTGGAGGAAAATATGGCATAAAGCTTAAATATTTGATTATAATCAAAAATTGATAATAAGCCTAGTAATGGTAACTAAATAAATATTCTCGCCTTATACTTACTTCCATCAATAACCTTTCGAAATTGTAACTTCTATACAAAAATGTATTAGAAATTTAATTGATTATAATTTTTGACTGAAGTTGGTATAGGACTTTAATATAATACTTCGTGAATCCCTATGTTTTTTAAGAAATATTCTATTGTAATGCAAAAAAAATATAGACACCTTCAAGGCGATATTTTTAAATGATTTGTAAGGTTGAGTGTTCTAAATTATGAACTATTTTTGTCAACAAATTAACATGGATCACTTTGAATTTAGGTAAAAACATGTGAATAGGATTTGGCCTCATAAAAATTATTATAATTTTTGAGATATACTAAAGTTATGATTGCAGTTTTTGAGTGCACATATGAGCTTTGAACATGGTGAACTCATGTGCACTCCCCTCACTCCCAAACTCGATGTGTCAGCTGTCAAGTGGGGAGGACGAAGCCACCATCGACAACTATGTTGAACTTTTTGAAAGCTGTCACAACTAATTTGCATTCCCCCCGAACTCCTTTGGTCCTGACCAGGCCACATCAAGATCCAATCCTGTACGACCCGCATTCTCCTCCAAGTTGAACTCCACATTCTGCACCTCTGCATATGTACAATATGCTTACTTTTTGTTTTATTTTCCACACTTTGATTTCATCTGGGCCTGAGAACAAAGAGTAAATATTCATGGGGCTGGCAGGGCGCAAACTTTTGACAATTTTCGGGCCAACTGTGATTGCGCTGGGAAGCGAAGAAGGGCACTACGGATTTCAGTGCGAACGAAACTTCCGATTGACAGAACAACCACGGATGGGATTGCGAGTTAAACTTTTCAAATTTGTGCAGTCCAATAATTGAGTTAGCTCTGGTCCTCGCTACTGCTGATTGTAAGTAGAGATTGAGATGAAAGAGTAGAATCTTAAAATACTGCAGTTTTACGAACTGACACGCTGGGTTAAAAGGGGAAATAAATGGATGCTGTGTTGCTTTTCAAGGGAATTTCAGAAGAGATATCCCCTACGGAAAAGGAGATTCAAATTTAACCATATTTAATTGTCCAGACATTTATAAAATACTAATTAAAACAGAAAGTGAAAACCAAATATAAATTTTATTGATTTTATTCTTATTTAAGTATATTTAAGAAACATTTCAAACTTTTCTGTACTTGAATATTGGTTTTAATTTATTTGTTCTTAAACCAGATGCCTATCAATATTAATATTAATATTTGTTATTTAACTAATATATCTATTTTTATTTGTGTGTAAAATAACAAAATTGTTAATTGTTCTCTCTTATTGCAGTTACATTAGATGTATGTATAATAAGTATATGTATCTATAGTTCTGTCTGTAGCACTAAAGCTCATTTGATTTTCGGACCAATTAGAACTTAAAGTTTTTCAAGGTTTCTTAATATTGACCTTCCAAATAAGATATTAACTTTCCTGTTATGGCTTAAATCGACCTTCGGTTCGCGGGATGGCAAAACTCCCAAGGTCTTCAGCCACAGGACACCTAACCATCGACCGTTTATATAGCCCAAACCCAAACCCAAACCCAATTCCACGGCGCCAGTCGTTGCCACTTAATCTTAATTGCCATGAGTGGGCGAATTTCCATACGTTTCGTAGACGGGCTCCTACTCCTGTTTCTCCTCTTCAGCTGTCATTTCCCTGTTTTGTTTATCGCTCGCCCTTGTTTGTTCTATAAATCCTCATAAATTCGAGCGTGTTTTCTTTTGCGGCTTGGCGTGTCCTTGGGCCTGCCCCAAGTTTCCCTAAGCCGCCTAATTCTTTGCGAGTGTTTTATGATCCACCCAAACCAAGTGAGGCAACCCCACACAACAAGTTTGACATCCTGTTTGCTCCGTGTTAATTTGACATGATTATGTCAGAGTGTTTGACAACTTTTCATATGGCCAAGTCGAGCATTTTCCGCCTTCTTCTTCTTGTTTATGGCAAGAGGCCCTTTTGCCAAGGGCGCTGATCCATCAAAAGCCAGGCTGTCCTGCGGTTGCGAGTCCTTGGAGTTGAAGGCGGAAGCACATGCCGGCTCTCATTTCTTTTCTTTTTTTACCACGCACTTTATTTACTTTTTCGCTGGCTTTCTTTTCCATTCTCTAGCCATTCATTAATAACATTTGTGTCCTATCGTAGAAATATTGTTAAAATGGCGTAAAATTGCCCGCTTTGAGGCGTCATGACGATGCGAGTCCTGCGTCCTTCGTCCTCGTCTTGAACACAGCCACTTTGGCGACGGCATTAGCAAAAGAAAAAAAATGTGTCGCAAATTAACCTTTTGACAGCTGACTGAGGGTTGAAAGAGGGTTGGGGGATGGGGGGTATGACAAATGGGTCTAGAACTAAAGATGAATGTCTACGGCAGGACTTTAAGACACATCGAAGTTTAAGGATCGAAGAGCACATTTTCCCAAAAAAAAAAACATATATTTGTCAAATTGTTTTATAATCTAATTTGATCAAATGTATTTCATTAGTTTCAAAATGAGCAGAAGGGTTATTTCCATTCCAAACTAATTGATAACATTTTTTAAGACAGGCTAGTTATTACTAAAAGCTAACCATATTCCTTAGGAACTGTATATTTCTTTATTAAGGTATACATTTAACACATTATTTGCTGTAAATAGTTTAGTAATAATTTATTAAAATATTCACTTTTTAAATAATTAAAACTGTATAATTATAAGTAGGTAAAATAAACTTGATTTACAATAACGTATATACAAATACCTAAGATATCTGAGCTACTGTCTAATTAAGCATTCCTCACTTCCGTTTGCAGAACAAGTGAACCGCTTCCTTCTGCCGGGGCCACGCCCTCTTCTTTGGAGGCAGCCTCTCTGGATGCCGGCAATGCCCACGGTGGCAACAACAATAACATCAACAACAATCACAATGGCCAACAGTCACAAAAATCTCAGCAACAGGCGAGTCTTAGCGCCATTAGCAGCAAACTGAATGTCCTGGCCCAGTCCAATCTCAATAACAACAACACGAGCAGTCAGTCAGGATCCATGACATCCGCCCCAAATCGCAATGCCCTGGACTCGAATCAAAACCAAAATCCGAACGCAGACAGCCGCCGGAGCAGCAGCCTCGATCCGGATGTGGACGATGTCGTGGACGCCGCCCACGGCGGAGCCTTCGAGGATGACATGCAGGCCCTCCTGCCCAAGTGCTCGCGTCGCTCCCGGGATGAGCTCAGTCAGGTGAGTCGTCGAATCATTGGATGTCTGTCCTGTCTCAAATCAAATCCAAGTCATGCCAGCATATGTAATCAGAGAAATGTTGTTTTTAAGCGGATTGTAAACCATGAATCAACTGAATTCGTAGCATTCGGGCCAATGTTATTTATTTAATGCAGAGCATTACGATACGACTAAATATTTAAACAAATTTATTAATGTTTATATGGTTCAGATGTACACATGCGAGCCTGCCGATGCATCGTTTAACACCAGTTCTTAATTAGGTAGACTCAATTAGAATGCTGCCAAATCAAATTTAGTTTGTTTCAAGAATATACAATTTTTGAAAGGATTTCTTTTCTCTATTATTTAGTGAAAAGTTGTGGAAAGCTGGTTGTAATCGAAGCACTTGTGTCTATGTTGTCCATCTAATACAGAATACTATGATGTATTTAAATATTTAAATGAATTGAATAAAGGATGTATGATTTAAATGAACACCTTCTGCGAACCTGCCGATGCTCTTTAATAGGTGAATAAGCATGAATTTAATATTAGAAAGGACACTACTGACCAAGCCCAAAACCAACAAGTCTTTCCATTCTATACCAACCGTATTCACCATATTCCCAGCTCAATCCAGACTCCTGGGGCTTCCATCTCGGGCTGCTCATGTAATTTGCCACCGTTCATTGCGCAGTTTACTCAGTTTGCAAGTCCTTGGAGGACGAGCTGTGAGGAGCACTGAAATTTGTCGCCTCCATTTGGATGGCCTGCCACATGTGGCAAAACCAAGTGGCAATTACGGGGCAAGCTACACTGTTCCAACCGGCTTTTATTCATTCATAATTTGCTACGTGTTGCCTTGTTGATGGGGCAAAGTATGCGAAAAAAGGTTGGGGGTCTTGTGTGTGTCTCACAATAATGATAATGCAGTGTCGGGTCCATAAAATGATGAAATCAAATGATTTCGTTTTGGCATAAAAATATAAATTACAATACACGTCGCTTCCTCTCCGCCTTTCCCCATTTCCCTTACATTTTCCTCATTATTGCGAGCTGGTCGTGCGTGCTTTTCCCTGGGATTTCTTCATTAATAACTGAGAATCCTTTGTGTGTGCTTTCTCTCTGTCTCGTCGTCCTGTGCCTAATGGTTTGTAATTTCCTTTGGGGGTGGTGTTGAGTGGGCGGTGGATGCTGGGTGGTGGGCGTGGTCCGCCCTGAGGCCGAAAAGAGTTTGACAAGTCAATTTGTTAGTTAATTTGATATGCGTTGCTATGCCACATCAATTGAGCATCCAATTTTGAAATGCCAGAAAGGCAGTCATGCCTTCTAATTGCGCCATAATTTACCCACTACATTTGAAAGTCATTGCATCCCATCGCATCGTTGCCAAAATTCGGTTTTATTTGGCATTGGAGTGCTGCTCTCCCAAAATGAGGCAATCAAATCGTTGGCAACTGAATTCAAAGTCGAAAAAGGGGAGTGGCCACCTCAATTGAGATGGCCAAAGCCAAATCGTCTGGGGCGTGGCTCTATCAGACAAGTGTGCTCACATTTTAATTTGCGGCCTGCACATCCTTTTGCACTTGCAGGCACTTTACGTTACACTCTACAAAAAAATGAATTTTTACCCCGGTTTCCGTTTTTAATTTCAAGATCCTTCAATTCAATACAACAAGTATCTAGTATTTAATGGAGATTGTTTTATACCCATCGAATACATTTCTTGATGTTGGTTTATATTTAATGTCAGTAATTATAAAATCAAATGATGTTTTCTACCAATTTTTTAATATTATTTCAATATTATGAAATGCATCTTAATCATATCAATTTCCTTAAATTATCATTGAAAAGTTCAATATATTTTTGGAATTTCCAGAAGAGCATATCAAGATATCATGTTCCTGTTGAACTATTTTTCAATTTCTCTTCTTGTTTTCTGAATTATTTTTATGTGATATGAACTCTAAATAATAAGTAAAATTCTATGAAAATAATTTTTTTAAGCAAGCAACCCATTTAAACCGATTTACATCTTGAAAGCTTTTTTCACCTTTTCAACCCTTTTAGATAATTGTTTTGCTCAGTGCACCTTTCACCGTGTGGCTTTTCTCTTTCTTGTGTGGTTGGTTGTTGGTGGCATCTTTCTTTTGACCAGCAGATGGGCATAAAATATTGATTTCATTGCCAGACAGTCAGGCCCAAACAGCTGAGGCCCACAACCGACAACCGACCGTTTTAGTGGCAGCTTCTTTTCCTTTTAGTCCTTTTTTGGCCATTTATGAATATTCAATAAAAACAACAGCAGCAACAGGGCGGGGCACCGAGCATCAACGATGGCGATAAAAGTGTCTGCCCCCGGTGGGAAAGTGTCCTGTGTCCTGTGTCCGCTGGCCAATATTTTCCGGTGCAGGAATGTGTTGGCACGACCACAGACTGATGCAAAAACCAAATGCAACACATGGAAGGACTTGTCGAAGGACACTCTTCAGGTCGCCTGTTCGCTGTCTGGCATACACAAGTTTTTATCGCCAGGCGCCGATCAAAAGCAAGGACACGGGTTTGAGTTCGAGTTTGAGTTGGAGTTGGAGTCTGAGTCTGAAACTGTGGAACTTTATTACTTTCATTATGCTTTATCCCTGCTGGCGGTGACCGCCGCCTCCCTTGGCCATAAACAACTTTGGGTCTAATCTCCTGGCTGCGGGCCATGTCGAGTGGACATCGTCCTGTTGCTGCTCCTCTCTCCTTTTTCCCTGTCCCCAGTCCCCTGTCCCCTGATCCCCTGATCCCTGTTCTTAGGCAGCTGTTTGCACAGGTGCACAGGTTTGCTAATTGCAGCGGTATTAGTGGAGCTTTGTCAGCGGCTTAAACCATCCGCCCCCAGACCTTCCTTTTCTTTGAAATGGGTGTACCAAGGGGCTTTTCTTGTTGCCTTCTGCCCTTTGAAGGGATATTTAGGTGAATGAGAACCTTTTTTATACAAGCTTAACTAACTCAGAAATATGTTTAGTGTATTTATTAATTCTTCATTCAAAATCTCTAATTAACACCCGAATATTCTTAATATTAATTATTCAATTAGAAGAATTCATTGAATTTTATTGACTAAGTATTTACAGAATAAATATGCTTATATAGCATTCACTGACTTATTAGGTATATTTGTAAATATTAATGTCATCTTCTTTCTATCTTCTGTAAAAACAGGAAGAGCTCAAAAAAGGGGCTCTGGTCCTCAACCTTTTCAACTTAAAAAAGGGTAAAATTGTCTAGCCTTTTGAAAAGCAAATCTGATCAATCTACATAAATCTGATCATATAACCCTAAGAAGAAATAGATGTCTCACTGATTTATAACTTCTTTATTTTAATTTATTTTCTGCAAACAAAAACAACTTTCGATTTTAGTTATACCCGATTTCACTACACAATTTGTTTTCGCTATAGGCATAAATGTTGTTAAAGAGTTTCTAAAAAGCAAACTGTTGCATATTTTTCAAGTATCGCTAAAAACAGAGCTGAAAACCGGAGGATAAATTGGTATATCCCTTTGACTATAAAGGGTATTCCCATTTTTCTGGAACATTTTTTTTTCGGTTTTGCGTTCACTTCTTGTTGCTTGTCAGGCGAGAGATGTTTGCTGATATTGTCAGGTGGGCAGGACGAAAAAGGACACGCGACAGACGACCGCAGCAATCAGGCTCGAAGGGATGCGAGTTGGTCGTGTCCTGTCAAAGCCAATGAGGCGTCTATGCTGTGCATGTCCTGCGGTCGCCCAGGCTCTCCATTTCTCCCTTCACTCCATGTGGCCTTTTTAAAGTCCATCTAATGAAGTGTACGCTTGAATTTCGTTGTTCATTTGCGTTAGTTTTTGGTGTCACAAGTGGTCAGGACTTAAACTCCCCAAACCCATGTATTTTTCCCACTGCCATCTCTCGTTTCAATTTTGTCGCTGCTGGACGCATCTTCTTTGGTGTGTGCCTAATGGCTTTGACTTTTTGACAGCATCCCCAGCAGAAAGAGAGTCCTGTTTCCTCGCCTTCTTCCCCTCCATTTTCCCCACCACACTGCCCCTTTGGAACGTCTCGTCTTCGTTTTGGCCATCGGCCATCGGCCATCGGCCATTTAATGGCGTACTTTATGTGCTGGCTTATTACTTGAGCTGAATGTTTATTGCATTTGCCATTTGGTCGCTTGGTATTTAGAATTCGGAAGCTCATTCATTGAGCGTCGCCGGCAATTTTCACTTTTCCCAGCCGGCTTGTTAATTATGCAGGCGCTTTCGTCCTGCGTGCAATTTGTGCAGTGTTGCCGAATTTCCGCTTTGTTAATTATGCATTCAAAGGATGGATAGTTTTATGCGCCACTCTTTCTACACATAAAGGGACACTCTGCTGACAAATGCAAGGGCTCACTGAAATTAGTCTCATTCAACATTCGCAATATAAATATTACATTTAAAGAAGTCATGAATTTAAATTTGAATTCGTAGGGAGTGTACACATCTGCGCTGTATTTTCAACAGCTGCTGGTTTCAAAAAAGAAAAGATTAAACTATGTATAATAAAGTAATAAAAGCTGTTCGGTCCACATGTTACAAGTTCAAATGCATAGTATGCTAAATAACTTTATCCATGGATGGAATTAGAAATACCCCAAATAAAAAGTTTGAGAAATCTGTTTTAAAATATTTATATATCTGGCAAATTTTACTTGGACTTAAACATTTTTTTTTTATTAATTGATTAGATATTTTTGAAAGACTTTTGTATATTTTTTTCCGCCTTAAGACCGATATAAACATATTTTTACAAACTTTATGTGGAAATATATTTTCCGAGTGCTCAAAGGACAACAAAATAAGGGTCCGGGGAGATGCACACTAGGCACACACTCACATTCACACACACACACATCAGTCAGTCTGTGTGATGTCTAGCTGTTGTTGTTCCCATTGCGGTTTTCCCTACCGTTTTGGGGCATCCTGCTGCTACTGTTGCTGCCATTAAATGTAAT